AAAAAAAAAAAAAAAAGAAAAAAAATATTGTGTATTCAGTATTGTATCTTTTTTGCACCTCCCCCGCTTCCTAGAGACCCAGAACCCTAAGTGCTTGACATCTTTTTACTAGAAGGCACCATGTTTACTGAGTGCCATCCTTGAACTAAGCACATTTCACGTGCAGTGCAATTCTTAAAAACAGCTTAAAATTTATGCTGATATTGCTGATTTTACGGTAAAGAAAGCTTGAGTTTCTGAGAATTTAAACCCAAGATCTCTCAGTATTTATGTTGTATCCAGGCTGAGTCTATGCTCTTTCTATCCTGTAGCATTTCCAAGAGAAAATCCTCTGATAAGTTACAAAGTGTATTACTGTGCAAATATTTAAGCATTCTCCTGCAGACCCCTTACCACTCAGGAAACAAAATGATGCATCTGTAACTGAAGAATTGCAGATGGTGCACCTGTGTTGGCACCAGCTAGGTAAACAGCTGCTCAGCCTTATAAAGCAGGGAACAGAGGGCTTTACAGTTCCAAAGATTTTTCCAAGGAAGGGCTTTACAGTTCCAAAGATTTTTCCAAACATCCAACAGCCAGATCAAAGATCAGAACTGTGCGAATTTGAGAATCACAGAGCTCAGTGAATCACTTTCTTCTGCCCACCCACCATGTGTCACCTGTGCAAAACAGGAATATTAAATAGGAAGAAAGACTTATGTTAGGTAAGAGTGTGACTCAGGGCTCTCCCACTTTTTACAAAATGGAGATCTGGCATTTGCAACCTAAAACAATGATGTGTCCTGATATTACTTGGATATAGAAAGGATACGAAAAGATCAGATGCCTGTGACAGTCCACCCGGCTGTGATCCAGAAGTCTTAGATGACTTGCATCTGAGGATAAGATTTACCTTATCGCATGTTAAGGATGAAAACAGAGACATCACTGTCCCAGTTCATTTTAAACCAGCGTCAATGCAGTATTAGCACTTTGGTAAGGGAGTTCTGCCGCTAAATTCAGTAACTGGGAAGAGGAGGTGTAGAGACAGAGTTAAGAGGAGAACTCCAAACAAGATTGGGATCGCCAAGACAATAAAAATGTCAAAATGAGGGCTTTTCCCCCCTTCTGCAAGTCTAACATAATAGTAAAATCTTGACATTTCACCGACAATGTAAGCCCTTCCTTTTACCCAATCCTTTTCACCAGGACACCAGAGTTTTCTTAGAAGAAAGGTGCTAGGCTTGTTTTAGCTCTTTCTATTCTCCTAGCAGCCACCCTAGTACACATGAAAAGGGGGCAGCGACGCGTGTTTTCCCATCCTGACTAGTTAAGCCCTGAATCATCACAAGTTGATCTCTTTTTCCCCTTAGCCAGCAGCGCTCGAGACTTTCCCTGGAATAATACGATCTTGTACTTAAAAGGAAGAGTGGTGGGAGAGGAGAGAGGCGGAGAAGAGGAGTGGGGAGAAGGG